GAACGTTTACACTAAAGCTGAAGCCAAGGGGGAGGAGGAACTTTGCACTTTTCATTGATATGCCTTCAAAAATTACAACTCATTGGTAGTACATTCGGAGGTTCTCAGAGTTCCAAGCACGAGGAATCGATTTTCCATTCAAGTGTTCCAACCAAAAGGTGTTAGGGCCGATGACCTTCTTGACTTTGTAGGGACCTTCCCAATTGGGGTAGAGCTTTCCAACACCGGGCTTGAGCACCATGAATTTTCTGAGGACGATGTCACCTTCTTTATAATGGTGTTCCTTTACTCGAGAGTTGTAGTAGTGTGGTGACCCTCTGTTGATAGGCCACAATCCTGAATTGATCATGCTCTCGGATGCTTTCCAACAAGTCTAAATTATTTCTAAGTTTTTCATCATTCTCGGCCTGCTTGTACACCTCGGTCCGAAGCGTCGGCTGGCCGATCTCTGCTAGAATGACAACCTTGGTTCCTTAAGTTATGTTGAATGGGTCTCTCCTGTGGCGGTTTGATGTGTTGTCTAGTAAGTCCATAGGACGTTGTATAACTCGTCGGCCCAGAGGCCTTTGGCTCCGTCTAACCTTGTCTTCAGTCCATCAAGGATTGTTCTGTTGGTGACCTTAGCCAGGCCATTGGTTTAGGGGTAGCGTATCGAAGTGTACTACTGCTTGATGTTGAGGTTACCATTCTTTGAACCTGGTGTCATCGAATTGCTTACTGTTGTCAATGAGGAGCATGTGGGGGATGTCGAAGCAGCAAATGATGTTCTTCCAAAAGAAATTCAGAATCATATTGGTCGTGATGGTAGCCAAGGGCTTCACTTCGACCCACTTGGTTAAGTAATCAATTACGATGACAAGGTATTTCCTGTTCCCATTGGCTTGAGTGAAGGAGCTAAGGAGATCCATTCCCCATGTAGGACTGGGGCGTCAGGCTAAGTTAAAGGGTGGTCTCTTTGAAAGACGAAGGAGAGCTTCCAGGGGAAGCGAAGGGCTTCTCTTGGTATGGGATTCAAAAGAAAGAACGAGAGGGTCGTAGGGATTCTAAGGTAGCAACAGTGAAATGCTCAAGATTCTATTTAGGGAAAGGGATTCTAATGAGGACCCTCTATTTATGAAGAAGATCCCGAGATCCTAAAAGGTAGGAGATGAGGATCTTTGCTCCATATAGGGAAAGGGAATATATTGTTCACTGGCAATTATTGGGTACGCCGCCGAGCATCGCCACGTATCTCATAAAGATATTCTCAAGGATCAGCTTTCCTTATCCCCGAGATCCCTCATTTGTCACGTGTGCTACTACCCTTTTAAGCACCTTGACTGATCCTATGTGGAGGCGATGAGATCACCGTCCGAAGGTCGGTATTTGTTAATGCCTCATGGTGGTTTGTAAAGTACTTCGTTAAAATGGGTTTGTGTGTGTTTGGGCACACACGGCCTCACCATGGGCTCAGCCCATTGTCCTCCCCGACCCGCTATCCAAAGCCAGTTTGCGAGCCGTGGGTTTATTGCACATCATGGTAGGTGTGACCTTATCGTATGCATAAGTGTGCTTGAATCTTTTGGATGGGCCTTTCTGAGGCTTGTTCCGATTTGGGTGCTTTCCGGCCTTGATGATCCGCGGATTTATCGTGGTTTTGCTTAATGCGTTGCAGGTTCATCGCGAAGATAGCAACAGATCGTAAGTTTATTGTAGCTTGGGGTAACTGTAGGCTACTTGTGAGTGATTTCGTGGTATTACTCTCGATGTTGGAGTGTTCTTTGGGAGTCTGCATGAGCTATACATGTTTACACCCCATTTGGCGAAGGGCCATGGACTGCTAAGGGCTGAGAGGGTTGTGGATGGCCGATAGGAGATGTTGGAGTGTCTCTAGCATTGGTCACACTTATGCATTAGCTCGGCTGCGTCCTTCTGTATGGTTGGCCAAAAAATACCCTTGCCTTAGTGCGTTTTGGGCTAAGGCTTTGCCTTCGAGGTGGTTGCCACAGATGCCTTCATGGATCTCTCGAAGCACGTACTCACCCTCCTCCCGACGAAGGCATTGGAGGTAGGGTAAGGTAAAGGATCTTTTGTACAGTTTCTGTTCTAGCAAAGAATAGTGGGTTGCCTGCTGTCAGACTCATCTTGCTTCATTTCTATTCGAGGGGAGTTGCTCATGCTATAAGTAGGCGATGATAGGATCCATCCAACAGGGGTCGGCTTGCACGAGGAGCACCTAAACTTCCTCAATGCTAGGTCATGCTAGCTTCTCAACACGAATAGTGCGGGCGAGGGCTGGACCCGATGTGCTTGCCAATTTGGATAGGGCGTCGACCCTCATGTTCTTGACCCGCGAAACTTACAGCAAGACAAAGTGGTGAAAGTGGCGGGCAAGCTCTTGCACCTTGGCCAAGTACTTGGCCATGTTGGGTTCTCTAGCCTCGTACTCACCATTTACTTGATTCACCACCAGTTGGGAATCACTAAAGATTTCAATGTGTTGGGCACGCACTAAGGTCTTTGGCAAGTTGCAATCTGACAAGCAGGGCTTCGTACTCAAATTCATTGTTGGAGGTCGAGAAGTTAAATCTCAATGCATACTCCACCTCATTGTCATTTGGAGAGAGGAGTATGAGGCATGCACTCCACCAAGAAATCCGCCAAGGGTTGCGCTTTGATTGTGAGCCCTGACTGGTATTGTAAGTCAAACTCAGATAGCTTAATAGCCCATTTGGTTAGCCGACCTAAGGTCTCAGGCTTGGAGAGGACAGACTTGAGGGGTTGGCTGGTCAATACTATGATGTTTTGGGCTTGAAAGTATGGTTTGAGTTTCCTAGCTGAGACCACCAGGGCGAAAGCCAACGTCTCCACCTCGGGGTAGCGTGTCTTGGCGTCGTAGAGGACCTTGCTGACATGGTAGATAGGTTTCTGCACTCCTCCTTCTCTCTCTAGAACAGAACTGGCCGCCTCATCTTCGGTTGAGAGGTATAGGAGCAATGTGTCTCCTGGAATGAGCCAAGTTAGCAGAGGGGGTGAGGTGAGGTAAGACTTCAATTCGTCAAAGGCTCATTGGCATTCTTCGGTCCACTGGAAGTCCTTTAGTTTCTTGATGGTTCGAAAGAATGGTAGGTAGCATTTAACCGATTTTGGCATGAATCAGCTGACGACAGCCACTCAGCCAGTGAGCTTCTACGTCTCCTTGATAGATTGAGGTTGTACCATGTCTAGTATGGCCTGAACCTTCTCTGGATTGGCTTAAATACCCCACTGTATGACGACGAAGCCTAAGAATTGGTAAACTTGAGTTGGTAAACTTGGACTTGATCTTGGGTTGGGCCAGACCTGAACCTAAGGTCTTAAGTCATAGTTTTGGGCTTTGGTTGACCCTTATCTAAACACAACCTGCCCACATTGCACTCCTATCCACGATAATTATACCCACATAACATCACAGTTACACATGGGGAACATGCAGGAAGTAGTGTTTTGTTGGTATGCGTGGGTCGAACTCTTGTGGATAGGAGATCATGAATCGTTTAAAAAGGTACCCTTAGTCAAATTTGAAAAATGATATAGTCACATCCGATCTCATTAATTACATATATTTATGATTCACTTGAATTAAGACCAATTAGATTGATGTCATGGAATTAGGTCTTAAGTTGCCAATCATTTTTAACCCAACCTTCATCCCAAAGAAATAAAATTTGATCCCTTTTCCACGTGCATAAATTATGTACACATAGAGAAAGAAAATTGACCAAATTATAGCATATAAGTTATTTTTTTTTTCTTTTTTTATTTTGAATTCATTCACTTGTCAAATTAACATTTATTTGCAAAAGAACACCAATAAATATACTTACCTAAATAACACTTTTCCAAGTGATACTTATTGCATAAATAGACCTGTTCATGGGCCGGGCTTTTGCTTTTCATTTACAGGATTTCTTCAAGCTCAAGCCCGAGCCCGGCCTGACCAACAGGCCTACAACTTGGGCCCAAGCCTGACCCTCATAAAAAGCCTGAAGCCCGACCTAACAGAGGCTGAAATGTAGGGCGACTGATTTCATTGGTGGCACGACTGGTGCCAGTGTCTGAGTTCGCCATCACCGGTGCTTGAGTTCGTTGGTTCCTGAGAATATGCAATAGTGCATGAGAGAGAGAGAGAGAGAGAGAGAGAGAGAGAGAGAGAGAGAGAGAGAACCGGTGCCTGTGCACGCCTATCGCCTTTGAGACTGAGAACGGTGGCTGTTTGCCTGAATTCGCGCTGGTTCTTGAGAGTGAGAATGAGGAGAGAAAGATAAAAAATGAAAAGAGGGAATAAGAAAAAGGTTAATTGACTAGGGTTTACAATAAAATACAAAATGTTGGGCCGGGCTTTTATGACAAATCCCAAGCCCGGCCCATAAAATAGTCGAGCTCAGGCTAAAGTTCATATGCAAGCCCGTCCGGGGGTCAAACCAGATTGGGTTGGCTCATGAGGCTACCTGGCCCATGAAAAGGTCTATGCATAAATGCATTTACCCAAATAATTAACCTATCGCGAGTCTTCAAATAAGAAGAGGAATTAGATAATTTTCCTTAAAATAATAGGTGGAAGGCCACCAACTTGATCCCAAACCATTCCAGATATAACTATCACAAGATGCTTTTGTTTCAATCCTCACAAGCTCTAATCATATAAATATTGATTTCATACTTGAAATGTAAAATGGAGGAAATATCGTTTGTTTCTTAGATTTTAATAATTTAAAGAGAGATATTATGACCGATAGGAGAGGGTGTAAACTACTAAACTAACACGGATAGACTTTTCAGCGGCAGCCAGCGGAACTCAACAACCATGTACATGTGGCATAAGATCAAGCTTTGTTCATACTGCACAAAGTGCTGAGAGAAGTCAACTTACTACAGCACAGGTAGGTTGCAGGTTCGTCGGTTCTTCTCGTTTCCAGTGTCAACTTATTACGTGTCCATCACATTCACAGGGTTATCCAGCCGTTAATTTCAGTTTTTTAACTTGTCGAGAATTTTGAAGTTCTCTTATGTTATAGTGCCACAGTGCCTTCACTTTCCTGATCTTCTACCTTTTGCATTTGACAGCAAAAAGGAATTACTTGAAATTAACGCTTCTCGTAGGTGCCAACCGCTGACTGGCTCAGTTAGTAAAGTAAGATCCCTCGCTGGTTGTAGCGGAGACTCGGGAATTCCGCCTACACCACTCGAGGGTGGGGTTATCAGTTATGGTTTATGGATGGATTTGGGGAGGGGCCTCCGTTGTCTAGTCCCATGAACCCAAAAAATAAAAGGAAAGGGAGTTCATATTTTTTCAGGCTCTCATCAGCCGGTGTATCTATCCATCAAAGTCCCTAGATGTATTTGTAACTGTAAGCGTTTTATTTTTTATTTTTTTAAGTTATAGTTTTTTTTTTTATTTTTTTGAATTTCCTTAGTGGTTCGACCATAAACTTCATTTTTTTTTTCTTTTGCAGCCGTTTTTTGATAGATTTCAGTTTTACGATCATTTTGAACTAAATTGCTTGATTTGGATGGTTTCTATTGAACAGCATATCAGATGAGATGAGATGAATACGACTTCAGGGTTTCGAAATTTGGTTATAGGGGCTTACCAGTAACTATATGGAACTAGATTTCTCCTACCCTTTTCACTTTATTCGGTTGAAATGGGTATAATATTGGTTTCCTTGAATTTCACGTATTCTCAAGTTCTGTTGTTTATGGACTAAATTGTAAATTCATCAGTCTAGCTATCACAAAAAGATTCACCAGTCTAACGTGTTTTTTGATCAGAATATGAACCGGAAAGAAGTTTGAGGCTTTGAACGGCTTCTTTTCTTCTCGTATTCTACCTTCTAAATTACACTTTCTGGATTTCTTTTGGTACCTTATTCAATACTAGATTATTTGCTTTGTTTTTGGGTTATGCTCAGAATTTAAACAAAGATTTGTACGAGTTACACTTTTATTTTGTTTGTATCTTACCCTTTTCTGGCTTGAGTTTGTAGGGAAACCTGCTACTCTTGAATTCCCACCATGTTTTGATCTGATTTGGTTAAAATTTCCATTGGAGAAGTGAAGGATGTATTTACACGCATTTTCATCTTATTACTAGCACATTTTGATATTCCTTGTACATATAATGTAACGGAATCACACTTTTGGTCTTGAATCACTAGAGGCTGAATTTTCCTTTCCCTGTATCCTGTCTTACTAGGAGTTATATTCCATTTCCTTTTATGAAGAATTTTTTGCTTCACTTCTTTGAGTTTTAATAGTTTTCTTTAGCTCTCATGATAGAAATACCAATTGAGCCTGCTATTTGGGGTTTTGGGATGTGTGCAGGAACCCTGGCAATGATTATGGGAGTAGAGGTTCAGCTTTTTTGTCACAATCCAAGGAGAAAATAATGAATTGTAGCACAAGTTTTTGATCTCATAGTTGTTCCTGGGTGTTCTGTTAAAGGACAGAAAACAGCAAAGGTTTATACAATTTGAAATTGAGGTTCTTTGTATCAACGGAACTTTCTTTTCTTTTCTTTTCTGTTATTTTGAGCAGCATTGTATCAATTGAGGTTCTTTGTATCAAGGGAACCTGGAAATTCCCAATTATCTCAATAATGATTTCAGCTAGTTATGGGAAGGGAACAGAGGAAGTTCAGGAAGAACTAGGCTCAAGTCCAATCTCAAATGGTTCTAAAGGAATGGCCAGAGTCCCATTTCACATGTCATCATCTCAAAGAGGACTGCTAGGCCAAGAAAACCCTCAAAAAGGGTCTCCAGATGTTTCAACGGCTCTTCCTAGTAGAGTAGGGATCCTGAAATTTGGTTCAACTGGTCTTTTGGCTTCTCCATCAGCTAAATTCCTGCAAATTGCTGAGGAAAGAGATGAAGTTTCACGTTCAGTTCCTTCTTCTACTAGCCAAGGTTCCCAAAATCGTTTTAATTTGGTCTTTGTTCAGAAAATTGATTGGGCATCTCTGAGGAAAATCTGCAAAGAGTGGGTCAGAAATCCAATAAATTTGGCCCTTCTTGTTTGGATCACCTGTGTTGCTGTCTCTGGTGCTATCCTCTTCCTCGTCATGACTGGAATGTTGAACAATGTCCTACCAAGGAAATCCCAGAGAGATGCCTGGTTTGAAGTCAATAATCAAATCCTCAATGCCCTCTTTACACTTATGTGCCTTTACCAACATCCTAAGCGGTTCCACCACCTAGTGCTTTTATTCAGATGGCGACCAGGGGATATCTCTAGACTCAGAAAGATTTACTGCAAAAACGGAACTTATAAACCCCACGAATGGGCCCATATGATGGTTGTTGTTGTTCTACTCCATGTGAATTGTTTTGCTCAGTATGCCCTTTGCAGCCTTAACTTAGGGTATAGGAGATCTGAGCGACCTGCTATAGGAGTTGGTCTTTGCCTTTCTATTGCAATTGCAGCACCTGCAACTGCTGGACTCTACTCAATTCTTAGCCCTCTTGGAAAGGAATACGAATCTGAAATGGATGAGGAAGCACATGTTCAGATTATCACTAGCTCCCCAAGAAACAAGTCATTAGAGAAGAGATTCTCATTTGCATCAAGAAGTGAGGAAAGGGTTGTTGAGAATAACCCTCAGTGGAGAGGTGGGTTGTTTGATTTCTGGGATGACATCTCTCTGGCATATCTCTCATTTTTCTGTAGTTTTTGCGTCTTTGGGTGGAACATGGAGAGACTTGGGTTTGGAAATATGTATGTTCACATTGYGACTTTTCTTTTATTTTGTATGGCTCCTTTCTGGATTTTCAACCTGGCTGCAATCAATATTGACAATGARGTTGTTAGGGAGGCATTGGGGGTGACAGGGATCGTGCTTTGTGTATTTGGTTTGCTGTATGGGGGCTTCTGGAGGATCCAGATGAGGAAGAAGTTCAAATTACCTGATAATGGCTTCTGTTGTGGTAAGCCAGCAGTGATTGATTGTGCACAGTGGCTTTTCTGTTGTTCATGCTCTCTTGCCCAGGAAGTTAGGACAGTAGATTTTTATGATATTGTGGAAGATAAATTATATAAAAGGCAAACTGAAGAGGGTTACCGGGCAACACCTTGTGAAGTTGGCTCTTTTCAGTCCACTTCTGGCTCAAGTTCTCTGCTTCAGAACAACTCTAGTCCATCAAAGCCTAGGACGGAAAGCTCATCAAGTCCGAGTGGAATTTCAAAAGAATATTATAATCCTGACATGCGGCTATTCATGGTCGAGGAAGAGTCTTCTACAAAAGGTACAGACAACACAATGTCACCTCCTGTATCTTCATTGGTACAAAGAGATGATAATCAGCAATGTCCTGTTTGAATTGCAATGTATTCTGCAATATACATGATGTTGTGCAGAGATATACTTAAGATAAGTGTTTTGAATTAATCTCTCTTATTTCCTTAGTTAGACATTCTTCATGTTTTTGCTACAATACACCTGTGGTAATTGCGAGTATTTCCCCCTCTTGACCCTCACCTGTTTGGTTTTTGACAAGCTTCCTTATTTCAAGGATATATTGTTCCTTGAGTAATTATCTGTAGGAACATACCTGTTTCAAATGGTTAAGATAATTTCTTTTGGGCATCAAAACTTGGCAATTGCATTGTTCTGTAGGTCAACCATGGTTTCATTTGAGTACTTAAAGAAAAATTAACTGAAACGCTCTGAAGTTTCCTGTGTGTTTTCGATAGTTTTTTTTGAAGAAGGTAAGGTAATGTATTAATCCGCAAAAAGTATGAAAATATACAATCAGCCCAGATCCCTTACAATGCATGACTTTTTTTTTTTTAATTTTTTATTTTTTTAAGAAGCCCATGTATACTGGCCATTCTTCCTGTTGTCTCCCATGAGATCATTGACTCAGCTTAGCAAGGCTAGGAGTGTAGTTGACTCATAAATCATAGGGTCAACTCAGAGTTATGTTACAATTTTAGAGCTTTACAGAATATGATTACATTGGATTATAGAATCAGCCCAGATCCCTGTACAATGCATGACTTTTCTTTTCTTTTCTTTTTGTTGTTGTTTTTTTTTTTTTTTTTTTTAAGAAGCCCAAGTATACTGACCATTCTTCCTGTTGTGTCCCATGAACTCATTGACTCAGGTTTTGACTCAGTTCAGCAAGGCCAGGAGTGTAGTTGACTCATAATCATAGGGTCAACTCAGACTCTCAGAGTTATGTTACACTTTTAGAGTTTTACAGAATATGATTACATTGGATTATATTTGGCTTCCATTACAAACTTTAAAACTCCTATAACCACGGAATTATGATCCAAACAGAAAAACTATAATCTACTGATTAGTAAAACAATCATAGGCATATATCATGATTAAATTTTTATTAGTTGGTTTAAACTTTAAAGAGTCACCCCATGCCTGGACAAGGAAGATAGAAGATCTTGGAAGAGGGATCAATCTGGTTCATTCTCAGTCAGATCTTTTTTTCAAGAAGCCAAACTCCCAACCATGCAATTATTTCCCCTGTCAAAAATCTGGTGAGCAACTGTAGCTTCAAAAGTGACTCTCCTAGCATGAACAGTGATGTTAGAGATGTGATAGAATTAAGACTTGGAACCATGCAAATGGAGGAAAGTAGGGAAACAAGAAGTCCAATTGCTTGGTCAAATTGAGAAACTCCATATGTATATATAGCCCAACTTGAGGGGGAGTGTTGTAGTGTGTGTTACTCTTAATGTACTGGCTTTATGTTCTTTTTTTCTTTGGGAGGGGGGTAGTTCTGTCTTTTCTCCTCTTGTTATGGTTGCCCTATTACATATAATAAGAGGGGCTGCTGCCCGCTTGCTTTTGATTCTCCAAAACATTCTTTTCACTTGTCTCTTTTCTCTTTTGCTTACAAGAGCTACCAAACATACCTTATACAAGGGGTTGCAAAGGAGAGAATATATGTAGGCGAGTTAAAAAAAAACATTAAAAAAGTACAACCCTGATATACTCCTCTCAAAGACAAAGCTGAGAAAAGAAAAAGGAAAGAAGTTGGTTGATATATTAGGCTATGGATGGAGACATATTGTCATGGCAGCAAGTAATAAGGGAGGTCTTCTTTGTGCATGGAAGGAAGAAATAAAAGTAGAAGTGAATGATACAAATGAAAAGTCATGTCTAACACTCTAACTAGAAATTTTATCCCACCCACCGAACCATCCTTGGTTACTACCTTTTATCCATGGCCCACCACAAGGAGAAAGGAAAAAAAAGTTTTGGGAGTTGATGACAAATATAGTAAACACATCTAACCTCTCCTGGTTAATTATAGGAGATTTCAGTGATCTTGGGGAAGAATTAGAGTATAGAGGGAAAATGGACAATAGGCAACATGTATCAGTACACCTCCAAAACTTCTAAGACTGCAAAGGCCTAATTGACCTAGTGTTCATTGGCCCTTGTTACACATGGATAAACAAAGAGTTGGGATTAAGTCTGGTGAAGGAGAAATTAGACAAGGTCTAGGCTAATATTTAATGGTGTACTTTATATGATGAGGCCAAGGTATAGCATCTTGCCTCCATAGGGTCTGACCATTGCCCAATACTTTTAAATACAAATCCTTACATTGAAGGCATAAAAAACCCATTCCATTTTCAACCCATGTGGACTCAGAGTGAAGAATGTGAAGAAATAATAAAAAATATCATCACCATCGTTGTCATCGTTGCTGTCGTCATCATCATCATCATCTAAGCCTTGCCCCAACTATATGGGGTTGGCTACACAATAAAAATATGGCATAATAATAAGGACTGCTTTGGATAGATCCAACATAAAATTCAAGAAAATGCGATGCAAATAGAGGATCTAGAGAAGGAAGACAATGTGGGCAATACTAAATCGATAAACCAATTGAAACAACAATAATTTGCATGGCTCAAAAGAGAGGAGCAAATGTGTCAACACAAATCATGTTAGTTATGGATAGAGCAAGGTGGTAAAAATACAATTTTTTTTTTGATAAATAATACAAACTTTTTCTTTTTTAATCTCATGGTCAAAGAAGATGAAGAATGAATGTTATTGAGTGGCTCAAAGATGATAATGTAAGGAGCTAACTTTCAAGGAATGAGATAGAAGATTGTCTCCAAAAAGAATATTTGAAGGCAGCTGGCTTGGAGGTGATTGGTGAAATCAATAGGGCAGAGGAGAATGGTAGCATAAGTAGGGAGGAAAGAAAAAGAAGAGACTTGGCTAAAAGGGAGTTCAACAAATGGAGGCAGAGTTCAAGGTGTCTGTGGTTGAAGAAGTCCCTTTCTAAGGAAGAAGTGTAGGAAGTGGTAAAAGGTTTAGAGGGGGATAAGGCCCTGGGGTGGATCCAATGGGTTCACACTCATTCTATAAGAAATGTTGGGGAATCGTGAAACAAGATGTAATGAATGTGTTAAGGGAGTTACATGAAAGGGGTGCTCTTGAAAGAAGTTTAAACCACACTTTTATCACCTAAAAAGAAAGGGGCAATGAAGTTGAGTGATTTTAGACCCATTAGTCTAGTGAGTAGTGATATGAACGCGTTCCTCGGGAAGAAATATCATCACCGCCGGCAGCAGCAGTGATCCGATGTTCTCATCCTATCCAATTCGGCAACAACAGTCTTATCCATTCGGAAGATTAGATTAGACTATCTTGTTGTTCTTATCTTATCTTATTAAGTTAGTAGATTAGATTATCTTATCTTATTAGATTAGGATTAAGAGAGACTTATCTTATCCTATCAGTCTTATCTTATCAAGATAGAGCTGGAGGTCTCCCTATTTAGCAAGGAGTCTCCTTAAGAACAGGACTCTTGTAATCTCCTATTTAAGGAGCCACTATTATTGAATGAAGGCATCGRATATTCAGTCAAGAAGAGAGTAAGGAGAGTTGGTGATCTCTTGAACAAATCACCAAGGCGCCAAGATAGGTACCTCAAGAAAAAGAAGGGACAAGGGAAAACATGAGGTTTTCCCCGTGGACCGACCCGTGACGAGATCCTATTCGTGGGCCCTCAACAAGTAGCTTGTACAAGATACTAGCAAAACTTTTGGAAAATAGAATGGCAAAAGTGGTATCATGTCTGATTGTTGAATCTCAAGGTGTGTTCATCAGAGGAAGATTGATTGTGGATGGAGTGCTCATTGCAAATGAAATAATAGACTCAAGGAGAAGAAGTGGTCGTGCGGGTTTGCTGCGTAAAGTGGATATGAAGAAAGCCTATGACCATGTGAATTGGAAGTTCTTGGACTACATGTTAAAGAGGATGAATTTCGCCGAGAAATGGAGAAATTGGATAAAAGTGTGTTTATTTTCCTCATTGTTCTCAATGCTTGTAAATAGAAGTTCTTTTGTGCTGTTTCAGAGTTCTAGCGGTTTAGGACAAGGGGATACCCTCTCCCCACTTCTATTCATGTGTGACAGAAGCCCTCTCTAGGCTTGTAGGGAGAGCTCGACTGGGATGGCTAGTGGAAGGTTTCCATGTAGAGAATGGGGATGTGGAGATTGCTCTGCTGCAATTTGCCGATGACACTCTTTTTTCTATGATGCTTCATGGGAGTAAATTTGGAATGTGAAGGCAGTTTTAAGATGGTTCGAGGTGGTCACTGGTTTGCATATTAACATTCTAAAGAGTGAAATAATGGCTGTTGGGGAAGTTATAAACTTGGAAGCATGTGCTAATGATTGGGGTTGCAGAGTTGGTAAACTCCCAACAAAATACTTGGGTATACCTTTGGGCGAAAATTGTAAATCCAATACCATTTGGGAGCCCATCATTGAAAAAGTGGATAGAAAATTGGCTTCTTGGAAGACCAAATACTTATCAAAAGGGGGCAAAGTCACTCTAACTAGAAGTGTTTTGTCTTCCCTTCCCATTTATTACTTGTCTTTATTCCTAATTCTGGCAAGTAGGGCTACTATGTTAGAAAGAGATATGAGAGAATTCCTCTGGAGGGGGTGGAAGGAGGAGTCAAAATGTCATCTGGTGAGCTGGAAGAAAGTCTGTTGCTCCAGGGAAAATAGGGGTTTAGGAATCAGATCAGTAAAAGAGGTCAACACTACCTTGTTAGGGAAGTGGTTGTCGAGATACACTGACCAACTGGACAGGCTGTGGAGAAGGTTAATTGTATCCAAGTATGGTTCTATCCACAGGGAATGGGAGACAGGAGAAGTAAGATTGTCTTATGGGTGTTCAATTTGGAAGGCAATTCGGAAAATTCATCCACAGTTTTTTAAGGGTATGGAGTATGAAGTGGGCAA